AGAGGCCCCCATGCAGGATGAGGCAGTGGAGGGCAGTGAGGATCGCCTCCCTACCTGGCAGCAGCTGGTGAGCATGGGGCTTTTTTGTTTTTAAAGTGCCAAGATGCTGGGGTTGGGAGAGTGGGTGGGGGATAGGACCTGTTTGATTTGGGGATTCGGCGTTGGCTGAATCTGTGAATCAGATTGGGCTGAATTGATTCAGGACAGTGATTCAAATCACCAAATCGAATTTTTGGTAACTGTGTGGCTTTTAGATTTGGCTTTTTTTTATTAGTCTTCCACCCGTGGCAGAAGAGCATAGCCTGAGTTTGCATGTAACTGTCCAAAGTAAAAATGGAGGTAATGGAGGGCCCCCCCACTCTTTAAGTGGTTAGAGGACTTGCCCAAGAAGTGGAAGATTTGGGACTCCCTATCATTCAGAGGGAGTTTGAACCTACAGCTCGCATTTCCTAGTTAAATGCTCTAATAATCAGGCTATAGGTTAAGCATTTCCCCAAGCATGCTGCAGTCCTCCATCCACTGGGCAGCCAAGAAAGGAAGATTTGTGGGGAGGAGAGCAAGCCAGAGGGATGAGATGGAAGAAAGGGGCTTTGGGTTCTGGGTCCTGCCCTGTGAGTCCAAAATAGTTTTTCTGCACCTTGCATTTCATATTATTTGGATACTATGGATAAACAGTAGCTGGGATAATTAGGGACAGGAGCCAGAGACAGGACCCAGTACAGAAAGTTGAACTTGCACAGCTAAAGGCCAATTATGCAAATAAAAGTGAAGTAAGATTTAGCCTTTTTTAGAATATACACTTATCTGAAAGTGATATAAGCAATCAGTGCTCCTTAAGTACATGGTCCTGTCAGTGCAGTTGTATTAGGAGCACAAATAGTGGCTAGCTCCCATCATTTGTACTGGTTCTGATATTGACTATCAGGACTGCTATTAGGACTTTTTAAAAATGAAACACTTCAATGAGTATTTCATGAGGCAGTATTTAGGGCAGTTTAAAATTAGATAACAACTTTTCAGGTTCCTTCCCCATGTGGACTTCAGGAGCCAGATTCTATTCTATCTATTGGGCACCAAACAGACTAAGGCATCTAACTGATTCTGTTCCACCAAGTTTGAAGCCTAGAAAATCTGTTAAAGCATCTGCTATATCAGACTGTCATCTTACCCTTAGGGTTAAGTCACAAAGAGTCAAGGAGAAGGAGGACCCACCCATCTTTTGCATGAATGGTTTTTATGGGATTCAAGCAGGGGAGGATTGATCCCTAAGTCTTTTTATACACATCAAAAATGGAATAGATGCTAACCCTGAGTGTTTACAAATATATGCATATATGTAGGCCAGGATTCAAACTGTATGAGTATGTACCTTGGTTTTAGGCATTGCCCTGGAGGTATGTGCCCCAGGTGGGTGATTTAGAATGACTTGCTTAGGTGCCAAGTAGTTCCTTAGATTTGCCTAAGAACAATTCTGTTCCACACTGCTTGATTCCCTGAAATGTATTAATTTATTAATGCATGTTCTTATCTTACCCTTAAAATTGAGTCACACAAAAGCAGCAAAGAGGAAGAAGACCCACCTATTTCAGTATTACCTTTTTTCAGAAAATGAGGAGTAGCAGGCACCTCCAAAAGGCAATTCAGAATGCCTGGCAGAGCTTAGAGCAGTAATTTTCCCAGGGTGCCACCCTGGTGTGCCTTGAGTTCCTTTCAAGGGTGCTGCACGGTGTCATGAAGTGTTAGCACTGTTAATGTGCAAACATAATTTGCAAGATAAACCTAGCATTTTCATAGTGTCAAAAACACTCCCATCTGCTGTGGTTTTTGTGAAGTCTTTGTAGCAGAAGAGCTGCTCTATTATTTTTCCGTAGTGAAAAAACAAGTGAAAACTAAGAGCTTACATTTTTTGAGGCATGCCTCAAATCTAACAAGGTTGAGAACCACTAGTTTAGAGGTGGCTGGTAAAACATAGGAGTGTGTCTGAAATCCTGTCCTTCCCAGGATCTTTAGTCAGGTGCCCAACTCAAGTTTTCCATTAAACATTTCCATTCACAGTGCCTACAACCATTTTTTAGGATAGCCATATAGTGGGTTCTTTTAGATTTGGAACCTCTATTCCTCCTTTCCTATGTGCTGAAATTCAGACCACCAGACCATGATGCTCTGATGGTAGAGCTCTTTTTGCTAGTCTCTCTTTTTACATATAGAGATAGACTGGAGTGATTTTTTGTTGATATCATGACTATCTCCCTCCACAATTTATTGATCTTGGAGATTCTGAAATGCAAGATTTCCCTGTGGGTGGCATATTGACCTGAAAGCTGACGTTCTTACTTCATTACTTGAAAAAGTTCCTTTCCAGATCTTTGGACACATCTAGTAAAAGGCCTACTTGTTTCTGTCAAGTTCCTACTAGGTCATCCTTAGTGAGCATCAGTTTAGAAAAAGTCCCACTTAAATCAGAAATATAAAAAAAATATTTAGTGTTTAATACAATACAGAGACTGAGTATATGGATTTCTCTGAATACTCTTCTGGATATAAAATATCCAGACATATGAAAATACATTTGAGGGAAGTGGCATGGGTGGGGGTGGGGTGTGCACCATGGGGGGGAGTGTGTGGCAGGTCCACAAACCCCACACACCCACACTGCTCCACAACCCCCCCACATATACATACACCCTGCAACATACCCTACACCCCCACACACACAGCCACACCCCCTCACAAGCCCCCCACACACCACACACACCCCACCATACACACACTGACCCCCAACCACATCCCACACACTCCCCACATACAGTATGCAGAAGTAAGGCTTTATTTTTAACTATTATGCAGTCACCTCTATATATACTACACAAATGCAAATCATAACAAAATATTTTTTATAATAAAATTAAAATATGTTATAGTAGGTTTTTGGCTTTTAGTGTATAATCTGTTTCTTTTCTGGTTCAAAGATGGCAACCCTCCACTCCCAAAAGAAGTACTTCCAGGGGCAGGGGAGGGACTTCTAGTGGCAAAAATCAGGGGTTAGGGTGGGACTTCTGGTTCCAAGATGGCAACTAGGGGATGGGGCACCTGCCAAAGGGTGGGACTACACTTGTGGCTCTTGACAACTCACCAAAACTCATTAAGCTGCCCTTAAGCTGAAATAATTGCCAACCTCTGGTCTAGAGCTTCACTTTGCAGCTGTCCTCAAGACCTCAGTCTCTTGTGTCCTTGAGAGTAGCCATTGGGGTTGGTCCTGGACACGGTTCCCTCTAAGCTGTGCAGTGTGCATGGCCATGTAGGCACACCTGGCAGCGCGGCATGAACACACCTGCATGGCCGTGCATGCCGCACAGCTTAGAGGGAGTGTCTGGTCCCGGAGTGTCTTTTTTTGTGTTTTCCTGGGTTTGCAACATTCATGTGGGTAGGGTGTACATGATTGTCTGGGCCAGGGCAAGGCACCGAACTAAGGGGTCTTAGTTCAACAGCTGTGAATGATGTGCTGAGGAAGTGTAGTATCCTATTCATAAGGCTCTCATTTTTGAGGCTGGATATTCATTATCTTATTGTAGCTCGTGTGGGAGGTCATGGTCTAGGAGAATGAAGCATTGTATCACATACAATGGTAGAATCCCATGAAGAGCGTTCAAAATAAAAGTTGAAATCTCAACTATGACTCTGTATTCTATGAGAAACCAGTTCAAAGAACAGAGTACTGGAGAAATGTCTTCTTGGCAGCTGATGTTGCCAGTTAAGTGAGCTGTTCGATTTTGGCAATCCTTTTAAGATACTGTACATGTTTTCATTCTGAAATAGAGTTCATTATAATAGTTAGGATTAGCAGCCAGTATGTCAGAGATCAGGGCCATCAAATATACAGGCCATGAGCCAGATGAGGCCCACGTAGCCATTCCTTCCAGCCTGCAGGGCTCCTGGTGGGCCAGGGAATTCAGGGGTGGGTTTTACCGCAGAATCCTGCCTCTGCCCCTGCCCTTCAGCAGCCTGCAGTGCCTCTCCAACAACAGCGCACAGGTCCAGCCCTGCCCCATGCCCACTCCAGACTCACTCCGACGGAAGAGGATCAGCCGGAACCTGGGCACAGCCCCAACCCAGCCCAACCTGTGCCTGCTCCACACTGCCCACCTGTGGCATGTCTTGCCACCCCCTGGGCGCTCAGTGGGGTTGGGACGGCATTGCAGCTGGACTCCCTTTTTAGGCTACCCATGCAGCGGCAGCTTCTTCCATCTGTGCCTGCCACTGGCCCCAGCCTTGCAGTATTGGCAGGGACTGGCACTACAGCCCCGATTCTGCGTACCTCGTACCTGCTCCAGCCTCGCCTGCCCAGGCTCAGCAGCAGCATGGGACAGAAACTGTTGCTCAGCACGGTGGGGAAAAGCACCCCTTCCCCCTCACCGCTGCCGACTGTTCCTGCTGCAGCCACTTGGAGCTCCTGCTGGGCTGCCCTGCATCTATGCTGCTATCACTGCTGCTTCTGGGCTGCCCACAGGGAAGCCCAGTGCAGGCTCCGG